TATTTTGAATATTGCAAAAAAAATCGATGCAAAATATTTTTGTAAGTGACTGTATTTGGTACAGCAGTAACTGCCTATGTAACTATATAACATTTTTTGAATCACTGTTTGAGATCAATTTAAGATATTATCAGTATATTTAAGTAATAATAAAAAAGTTAACACATTTAAGTAAACAATAAATATATAAGTGCATCACCTATTCCATTTCGAGCGAAGCAAAATTATTCCTTCTTTTGATGGTAATGCGATCTTAAAGAAATTATAGCATTAAGGGTTGCAAAAAATTCTTAATTTGCCCTTGAGCGGGGATATTTGTGATCAAAATTTAATTGGCTAACAAAAAAATTTTTTCCAGCAATCCCGGGAGTTAAATCGACTAATCCCGGGATATTCGGGACTTAAAAAAGACCGGGACATCCCTGACATCCCTAGTATGTATACACTATACACTAATATTCTACATTAAGATGGAATTCATTTACTGAATAAAATGTGAGGAATAGGTAAATTAAATATGTTTTGCGTTGTTATAAATGTATTGAATTTAATTTATTAATAAAAACGTGAGGAAATGGATATGTATATACACTTTTTACTGAATCAAAAAAATTTGGCGCTTTTGTTTTGGAAAAATTGGCTTTTTCTGGTGGCCTGATGCCACATCCCAGCAAAAAACACGATTACCATAGAAACGAATGTGGAAACGAGCTAGGCGATGGGAATCGCTTACCCTTTCGCTTCAGGAAGGCCTTATTTTAACATGGGCATGTCATTGGCGGTAAGCCCTTACCCGCAGCATTACCTTCAAACGAAACGAGAACGCATGGATAAACAGAATCCAGAGAAGCGAACAAAGAATGCCTTACAGAGAAACTAATGTAGAATGCCCAGATGAGTACATACTTATTTATATTATATCAGAAAATGTCTTAAAAGATTAAATTTAATTAAAATTTTTATAATTCAGTTTTTATACAAACATATTTATGTATTTGGGTATTTAGATTTTACTTAAAAATCGGTATGTACATACATGCATATTTAATAAAGCTTAAAATTCTACTTTCTCACTCATGTACTTCACTTCATTGACTGACTTCAACTTCGCTGCAAATTGAACAAAGCAAAACATGATTTTTATGCGAGACAAATTTCCACAGAAACTAACGGTAGGAAAAGATTTTTTGGATATTCATTCTATTTTTCAGCTGACTACGATGCAGCATTCTACGTTGCATTCCCCGAAATGAAGCAAAGAAGCGAAATAATTTCATTCAGTATTTCTGCATTGGATAAAATCATATTTGTGTAACAGGCGGTGCGTAGTCTCTATTGATGGCATATCCTCTGAACCATTCTTTGCTACCTCTGGGGTTCCCCAAGGGAATATCTTAGGACCGTTGCTTTTTGTTTTGTTTATAAACGATATCACAACGTGTTTTTCACTCTCAAAATGTTTACTCTATGCGGATGATCTAAAAATATTTTCAACAGTAAAAAATCTGAATGATATGAATAGGCTTCAAGTAGAACTGGATAATCTGCATTCCTGGTGCTTGAAATCGAGACTTTCACTGAATTTGAATAAATGTTTTAAAATCGCTTTTGCAAAAATTCGAAATGTCGTATCGACAAATTATAGTATTTCTAATACTTTGTTAGAAACTGCTGAGGAAATGAGAGATCTTGGCATAATTTTTTCATCAAATTTTTCCTTTAATAGCCATATCAGCCTTATAATTAGGAAATCTTATTCAGTTTTGAGCTTTGTGAGGCGAAACTGTACAAATTTTTGTGACCCGTATACACTTAAACTGTTATATACGTCGTTCGTACGTTCAAATTTGGAATACGGGGTGTTTATATGGAGGCCTTATCATAGTAATTCTATAAATAGAATTGAGCGTGTTCAGAAGGTTTTTCTTTAATTTGCATTACGGTCTTTGAATTTTTCTGCTCCTATGCCCACCTACACTTCTCGTTTACTTTTAATAAATCTGAAGACCTTGGAAGCTAGAAGATCTGTCCGTGCAATAAACGAATTAAATAAGATCTCAAGTTCTATTTTAGTTGATTTTTCTTTAGATAGAAATATATTTATTAATATTTTGAATTCGCACTTTTAGTTACTTTTTTGCGCCTTAATTAATTTTCTTTGATATTTCTGCATAATTTTGTATGCGAATGTTCCTTTTTTTAAAGCCTAGACAAACGGGCTCGCTTATTTGCATAATCAGCCTTTAGTTGCATTAACTCATGCATTAACTCCTTTCAAATGCAAATAGGCTTGCTGTAAATGCACTTAATATGTTTGCATTTAAACTGATTTTGCTAGTTTCAATTTGGCAACTCCGTCCAAAATTGACATCTATTTACTATTGTGAATGGTAATTTCGATTGACAGCACGAAAGTTTGATGAAAACAAATGAAAAAGCGGCAAACAAATAAAATCAGCGGTAAGTTTTCACAATATTGTGTTAAAATATGAGCAAAACTAATTATTAAATACATATTTTCCAAATTCAGATGTCCGACAACAAAAATCGCAGCACTTGGAGCACCAGTGATGAAAAAGTGTTCCTGGAACTATGGGCCGAGTATTCTGGTGACCTGCGGCGCGCTAAGCGAAACGTCCACATCTATACGGAGATGTCCATTCAAATGGCCTCCAAATATACTCCAAAGGAATTGCACGGGAAAATAAGGAATATGACCCAAAAAAAATAGCAAAACCGGTAAAAAATGGTAAGGTGCTGTTATTTTTACCGGCACTGTATATAGTTTACATCTTCTCTAATATACTTTTCATTAAATTAATAAACTCCTTTGAGTCGCTGCTCTGCTCCTTAATGGCATTCACGACTTCCGTGGTTAATACCTTGCCGTCTTCTGCCACTGTTTTTAGCAACGCAGTTTGCTCTTTTGCAAGTTTAACCACCTCACCCATAGCCACGGAGGTGGACGGCATATCGTCTGATGAGAGTGGCGCTGACATTGGCGACGACATTGGAGGTGACGGCTGGCGGCTGAGGCATGGTGTCGACGGTGCAGGAACCGGCGAAGAGGGCGGAATAGACGATGGCAATGGTGGCACTGCTGTTGACGATATATTCTAAAAATAAAAAGTTGTAAACATATTTTATTTTATTAAAATATACGCATTGAATTCAAGTTTACCATAGAAAAAGACTCCAAAATTTCTGCATCGTTCGCTGGTGTGCATCCTATAATTTTATGGACATCATCGTAGTGCTTCCAAAGCGAGGGACTTCCACCAGACGGACCAATTTTTTTCTTCTCTTCTCTGCAATTGTAATCATGTAAATGATGGTAAAAATGGTAATGCGGATGGGAAGTGTTTAGTTATTTGTACAACGATTTTGCTGTAAGGGGCGGAGGGGTTTGGGAAGCTGGCCCCCCAAATCCCCCTTAAAGAAAGAGGATGAACCGCACTTTATGGAAAGTTCTCCCCCCCCCCTCACCCCCACAGGCCCCGTGGGAGATGTTTGATAATAGGGGAAATTGGGATTTTTCGCAAAGGAAAAGCAAAGTTTTTCAACGAAAAAAATTATAACCCACACTAAGTAGAATTCTCCTTTCTGTTTTGCCGCAGAAGAGGGGCTGAACACCTTTTACAGAGAACACCTTTCTGCGCAGGCGGCCTTCGGCATAATTCGCCAAAAATACACATTTCAAACCAAAATTTTTACCTTTGGCAGAGAATTTCTTTCTGCTTAGGCGGCCTTCGGCATATTTCGCAACCGAAATTATTTATAAATTAGTGCACAGATAGAGTAACATTTTTTTTCTAAATAATGCGTAGACTCTCGTCTAGAAGTGTGTAAAAGTTGTTTGATTCGAGTCACGCGTTTGAGCACAGAAACACAAAATCGTTTTACAAATAACTAAAACTTATCCACGCGAATAACTAACATAAATACCGGGTGGGCTTTCCAAAACGGAACCAATCGAAATTTCAGCGAAAGTATAAGGAATTTCGTCATGAAACTTGGTGAGGATGTTGGGGGAGGCCTCCTCAACATGACTTGTTCACTCTCACAATATAATTGCTAATAGTATTTTAGCAATTTGTTGTTAAATAATGTCTACTATCACCCCCTAATTTTTTTAAAATATGCCACTTATCACTTATATTTTGTGTTACATATTATATTTTCAATGCTCACATGCGTATTTTATGCTTTTATTACATATAATTCACCAATTAATTAAGTAAAACGCGTTTATAAATTTGTATTCACGTTTTACCACTTTTCAAAACAAACAGAAATAACAATGGCCGACAGTAAGAGCAAATATGTGCTGCCATACGTTTTAAAAGTAAATACGCCACTATTAAAGGATTTTATTAAAACGCGGCCAACACAAAAAAGGAGTTGTGCGTAAAATCGTCATATTTTTATGGCAACCGTATTCCAACGGTATTTCTTTTATTCTCTTCTTATTTTTTCGCATGCAGAAGCTTTTTTTTTAATATACTTTCATAAATTATGAAATTTTTTTATATAAAATCGCGTGATTTTATATAAAACACCCAGTAACCATATATTAATATAGTTCCATATATCTCGAAAATTTTTAATAAAAAATCGCGCGATTTTTTATTAAAAATTTTCGCCTGCGGCGCTTTATATTCGAAAAATCGATACTTCCATAAATAATGAAAATTTTTAATTAAAAATCGCGCGATTTTTTATTAAAAATTTTCGCCTGCGGCGCTTTATATTCTAAAAATCGATACTTCCATAAATAATGAAAATTTTTAATTAAAAATCGCGCGACTTTTTATTAAAAATTTTAGACCGCGGCGCTTTATATTCTAAAAATCGATACTTCCATAAATAATGAACATTTTTAATAAAACATCGCTTTTTATTATAAAATCGATACTTCGATAAATTATGCAACTTTTTAATCAAAAATCGACCAATAAATAATTAAATTTTTTTATTAAATATCGCGCGATCATTATCTGCACTTTTTTAATGCTTCCGTTTTGTGTTTTTGAGGCATTTTTTCATATGTATGGCAGCACTGACATTTCACTTCAATTGGTGTACAAAGCAAAAGGTGAGGTTAAATTCGGTATTTTTTGCAACTTTAAATGCGAATTACTTTAAAACTATAAGCCTCCGGAGGGTGGGGTCTTCAGATTTAGAATCTGAAAAAGCTCCTCTATACTCCCTAATATTTTTTTTTTTTCAAAGCCTGGATCCGTTTTGGAAAATTTTCCCTAAATACCTATAT